TGCCAAGTAGCTTGCAGAGTTCTTTAACAACAGCCGAGGTAAAATTTCTTTCTTCAGCGGAATGTAACTGAAGAGGCACTCCGAACCTAGAAATCCAATGCTGTATCAATACCTCTGCTACTGTGATAGTCTCTTGACCAGGAATAGGATATGCTTCAGACCACTTAGTGAAGTAATCAATGACAACCAGGCTGTATTTGTAGACATCAAGTGTGCTCTTACATTTTACATCAAAGGTGCTCCTACACTGTAGCGTTGTAGCTGACCTCGGCTGCATTTCTTAGGTCCTTTCCGACCCACACAGGCATCGAAAGATGGGCATCACATTTGCATATCATTCCTTGCGTTACAGCGCTCTCGATGTCTATATCAAGTCTTCATTATTCCAAAGTGGCCTTCTGTTGGACTGCTATATAAATTCTTAAGTATGTTCAGGATTTTGGAAGTATCAACTGCCATAGAAATGCCTTTCCATCATCCAATTTGAACTTCTAAAAGTGCTATTCAAAATGTTCCCCAACAATGATGATGTCTTGCAGGTATATCACACAGGCTTCGTAGGAAAGACCTCTGAACACAGTCTCCATTAGGCTTTTGAATGTTGCCGGCTCATTACATAATCCAAACGGCATCACTCTGAACTGCCAAAGTCCTTGCCTGTTAGTAAATGCCTCTTTTCTTTTTCATCAAGGTGTATCTCTACTTGTCAATATCCGCTCTTCAAATCAGGCATTGAAAGCCACTTTATTTGAGAAAATGTGGCCAGAATGTCATCAGTTCTCGAAAGAGGGTAGCTATCTTTCTTCGTAACCTCATTCAACTGGCGATAGTCCATTCAACTGGCAATAGTCAACTCAGAATCTAGTTGAACTGTCTTTCTTTCTGATTAGGATAATGGGAAAATCTTGAGTTGCTGAAACCTCAATAACATCGCTTTCTTCCATGTCCTTTAGAAGTTTTCCTACCTCTTTCTGTTTAGCAATCGGTAGACATCTTGGATGTTGTTTGATTGGTGGATGATCCCCCGTATTAATTCTATGCTGTGTGAAACTGGTTCGACCTATGTCAGAAGATGGGCAAGAGAAAACATCTTGGAATTCTTGAACAACACATTCGGCAGAACTCCTCTCCTCATCGCATATTTGTGTGTTCTACAATAACTTCAATATTCGGGGTCTCCAAGGACATAGAGATTGGCGGACTGTTGGGTTGTTTAGTACAGGGCGTTGGAGTACATGCTGCAACCACTTTCCTAATGATTTTCGCTTTATCACTGACGGCAACTGTACTTGGTAAGTCGGTAAATGCCGAGGCTACTAGTACTCCTTGCGGGGTGTTACAGTTCTTGGGATATTCCACTACACCCTATTGGAAATTTCTGTTTTTGGCTATGGATCCAGGAAATAAAAATTCTAATCTTCCTGCTACTGTGGTGTCATCCTGAGCTATGATGTGGTGGACAAATTCTTCATCATTAATTCTGAGTAGGGTTATGCCCTCAGAGGCAGAATGCAGTTCGTTATTTTTAAATTCCAAGGGAAAATTATGTTTTCATAGAAAGTCTAATTTGAGTATGCAAAAGTCTGTTATATTTGCTACATATGCCATGTGATAATATTGTTACATGCGAAACGAAATGTTAATGTTTAATTTTCCATCGATATCAATTTTATCCCTGAATAAGGTAAACTCAGTCCGGCTAAGTTTACCTAACAACTGTAAGCCAAATTTTTTTGGATGATGGTAACATTGGCTCCTGTATTGATGGTCATATTGCAAGGAACTCCATTAATATGTTCAATGAAGAAGAGTCCGTTAGTGCCACCACTCATTGCAGAAATCTATAGTGCTTTAAAAAAGGTGCTTCTCAATATTTGACAACCTTCGCCCCTCGAGATGACCACTAATTTTTTCCCCCTGGGCATACATGTATACGCAATGCAGTCACATTAATGTGAGCAACACCTACTTTCAACATCAATGTAAAATATCCAATCACACAAGGAAGGTGGTGGCACATTGCAGTCTAGCATATTTAAAGGGTGTCCTAAAGACCAAGAAAACACTGCAATCGTTGGCGTAATGCAGATAAGGAGTGATTGATCTGACATCCAAAAGGGCTTTCGGGCCAAGTGTGGAAGCATTCCCAAAGTGGCTAATTTTGTAAACAGTTTGCATGCCACCGAAACTATCCAAAATCAGCGACGTGGCAAATGTAGTACACCACAGGCCATAGATGACAGAGGAGATGTGTTCAAGCGAATAGACGTGCAACCGTTGAGCAACTGGCTGCCCAAATGAACCAAGGGGCTACCAACAATGTCTCCCCAACGACAGTTCAGTGAACGTTGCAGTGTATGGGCCTCTGCAGTAGAAGCCTGGTTAAAGTACCTGTGCTGAATGCAGTTCATTGGTGATGAAGGCTGGAATTTGCATGCTAGTGCTGCAACTGGACGTTCACTGTCTGGCGACAGGTGGTTCTTTCTGATGAAGCACATTTTATGCTCCATCGGACAGATGGATGTTGGCATATACGGCATGAAACGTTGGAGAGCAAACATCCTGTAAAAATTGCCGGAAGGGTCCAAGCTGGAGGAGGGAGCATTATGGTTTGGGGAATTATTTTGTGCCATTTACTGGTTACACGCATCATTGTGGAAAGCATGATAAATCAACAGAAATATGCACCTGTCCTTGGGGACCATGTCCACCCCCACATGCAAATTGTTTTTCCTGAGAATGATGGCATCTACCAGCAGGACAGTGTGAAGTGTTGTACAGCTCACAGTGTATGTGCATGGTTCAAAGAGCACCAGGATGAGTTTGCCGTACTGCCCTGGCCAGCAAACTCCCCGGACTTAAACCTAGTCGAGAATCTGTGGGACTAACTTGATCAGGTTGTTCGTGCCATGGATCCTCACCCGTAACCTAGCGCAGCTGGTCACTGTGCTGGAGTCGGCATGGCTTAGCATCCCAGTGAACCCCTTCAAGAACTTAATTGACTGTCTTCCTGTACATCTCACAGCGGTACGCTCTACTAAAGGTGGTTACTCTGTTTTTAGACAGGTGGTCACATTAATGTAACTCGACTGCATAAGATATGTAACATGTAAGATAAAAAATATGTGAATCAAAATTATAATTTAAACTAACAATAAAACTTTAATTTTCCCTGTCTGTTCTAAAAATCGTAAAAATTTCTCTGGATTGCATCATTTCTAAATCATTCCATTTTGCATGGCCTGTGCAGTGATGATGACATAATAATTGGGAACTGAAACTTTTAACTCAAATCAAAACCTTTCTCTTCGTGTGCTTCCATATTGTATAACTACGCACTTCAGCTTCTTGCTCTGGATTTACGTAATTTATAAATTGTGTAACGTTTATTAATTACGTAATTAAATTATGTAACATTTATTAATTACGTAATTAATAATCTCTGGATTTACGTAGGACGTAATTTCTATGTGCTTTCTTCCTATCGCAAAAGTACCAAAAATGTAAATGTTCTCTGAATAAGCATGACTAGAGTGCCAAGTGATTGTGGCCACATATGTCAACTGGAAATAAAAATAGAATTAAAACTGCCTCAACTGCCAAGTTTCTTTGATATTACAAACTCAACATATTAGCATGCTATGCAATCATAAATCTTCCTCTGCAATATGCCATTTATGTGCTTCATCATCAGTTATTTTCTGCATTTCTACATCTTGGTGTTCCTACATCAGTACTTCTAAATTTTGCGTTTTTTACATACATATAATTAATTTCAAGGTCAAGGGTGTGTGTGTGTATATATATATATACTATAAAGCCCGGTGGTCATACGAAATGACCGCTGTTTTAGATATTATAACTTGTCAAAAAAATGTTTGTGTAGAGGGTAGTGTTCCACTGATTACCAGGGCGGCGGCGAGAGGCCCTTTGCTCTTGCCCATGGAGTTTCCCGTCTATTGCTATGCTTAAGTAGAGGCAATGCATGAAACCCCGACGCTTTCTTTAAAGCCCACCACTCGCTCATCAATAAAGGTATTAAATCATTAATGTTAATTAACTGTCAAAGATCTCTTTGTACAACATTCTTGTAGATCTCCCTACTTTTAAGCTCGTATTGCAAGGACATCCTATTTTTTTAGTCCATTCTTTCCGATCTTGAAAGGCAAATAAAGTTGACCGTCCAAATGCTCAGGTAAAAAAATACCAACACGCTAAGCTTGCCCTGAGACTATGGATGTCATACAAAGGCAAGTTTTACAGAAATTGTCTAATCTCAATGAAACGGCAACCCCGTGCCATGGCAACTTCACCATTGGCTAGTACAATACGCAAGCCCCAAAAACATCGGCGAAAACAGACACTTAAGCCGCATATATATATATGAGGTGAAATAACATCATCTCCTCCAAAACGGCTGGCTCCCGGGCTTAGCGAAGCACACCATTGGATTCCGAAGGTCCATGGCACACTATTTTGACCATTCCCGTCTTTTTGGGACTTTAATTAGCCGAGATAGTAATTAAAAACTAATTTCCCCCTACATTTTCCCTACATTTTCCACTCTCTTTCTTGGGTTTTCCCCATTACAGGGATTTGGCTACGTGCCAAATTCTTTTTTCTTGAATATATATGGAACGGCGCCGACTTGAAGTTTGAGACATGTATCTTCGGATTCCAAAAAATTCACAGAATCCATCAATATCATTCTCAGCTTCATACGACTTTAATTGGCCGAGATATTAATTAAAAACTACGAAAACGTTAATTTCCGCGCTCATTTTTCCAAGTGGCAACAATAAACTATCCGCGGCACACACTTTAGCCACTTATATATATAAAAGATATGTATTTATACATACATATTTATGCATCAAATTATTCTGATAAAATGTTTGAAATATTGCAATTTACAGATTTAAATATTTTTAACCTGTTATTTTTGATTTTTATAAATTTAGTAGTAGTTTTATATAGCTACGTAATATGTTTGTTATTAGGTACATTCTTTTGATGGGACAAAAGAAGATGCAAAAGCAATAATTGATTTAGGACTATATATAGGTATAAATGGATGGTATGTTTATATTTTAATTATTTGCTAATAATAATTGAACTGTTTAATAGAAGTTTTAAAAAATTGCATATGTTCTTCCTTTTATTTATTATATTATTTATCTTGAAATAAAACTGTTAAAAACATAATATGTTTTGTAATTCTAGCTCTTTGAAAACGAGAGAAAACTTAGATGTTGTTGCAGATATTCCTGTCCATAGGCTTATGATTGAAACAGGTAATGTAAAATCTGCAAAGCATGTACAGTTCATAAATAAGTAAATTATCTGATAGAACTAACTCATGAGGACAGCTAAATAGAAAGAAGTGTTTCTGATTAAATTATATATGCAACATGAAATATAAATTTAATTGGCAATAGCTCTATGACTCTTCTTTTTAATTTGGTTGTTTCCCTTTTTCATCTTAAAAATACAGTACAAAGTCTCTAATCCGGATATGTCGAGACTTCAGCGATTCTGAATTAGGGGTTTTTCTGGATTATAGATAATCAATTTAAATCTGGTAAGATGGCATGCAAAAATTATACAATTAAAAATATGAAACTGTAATTTATGAAATAAAGAGCAATTATGATCTAAAGGGATAAAATTTACAAAAAAAAAAAAAAAAAAAGCTTAATATTTATTTGTTTACTTTATTAAACTTTCTTTCAATGTAAGTTGTTTAAGTTGCTTCATTTTTTGTGCTAATACTTTCTCTTTAATTCTCTCTTCTATATAAACAGACATAATTTCTTGTTCAGTTACAAAGTTCCACTATTCAAATCCTGTAATTGCTGTGTCGAGAATACCAACTAACTTGTCAATCGAAATTTTTTTGTTTTCAATAACAATAACATTTCGTTTTCGTTTTCTGTCACTTTCTTCACCATTGGAAGCCCGCATGTGTAAACGCTTTACAGGCTTTGCGTGCATGCGTAGCGGATGCGCGCATCACATGCGCATATGTAAACGCTTTACGCGCATGCGTAAGTTTGTGGCTTTGAGCTCTGGATTATAGATCATTCCGGATAGTGGACATCTGGATTATGGACTTTGTGCTGTATATAATGGATCATTCTAATCTGCGTCATTTCGAAATTAATGCATCTCACAAGGATTTGCTGTTTTATTTTGTTTGTTGATTTATTATTTAATATTGTAATGTTATATCAGACTCTGATATTTTGACTCTGATTTGTATCAATCCTATTTTGTAATTTTTCTACAATGACGCAGTTATGCATTTATTTAATTGAGGTTCAGTTAGGGCATCTGAATGTGGCTGAGTATACGAGGGCTATCTGCGTAATGGAAGGGATGCCCTTGTGGAAGACTTTCTGGAGAAATCTTATATTCACGTAACATACAGGGAAAACCATGAGAAACACTTATGCAGCCAGCCCATTTTTCTGAGTTCCAATTTCGTATTCAGCGATCTTAACAACTCGGCCAATGCCCGGCCTTTAAAATGTGTAATCTCATCAAAAAACCGCAGGTTAAACATTTTATTTCACTTAAAACAAATTTAAAAACTTATTTACTTTCATCAAAATTTGCAAAAAAATATCAATTTTTTAAATAAAAAGTATTTTTTAATAAAATACAGTATTCAAGCACTATTCAGGACTACCTGTAGCTGGATCTATAAGTTAGAATGCCATCAAATTTGATAGGAAGACCAAATGAGATGGAGGAAAATGCATGACTGCAATGAAGCACAGGTAAAATTTGAAATTGCAAATGCTTGGTTGGTTTCGTAAACACAGCAGCGTCAATAATTCAATCTATAAAAATAAAAGAAAAACCACCGAAAGACATTCCAAATGTTAGCTTGGTTCAACATGTATCTTTCCTTACCTCTGCGCGCCTTACGTGTTAAGTTTTGTCTTCATCAACAGAAGCGCCGGTCATCATCAGATTAGAAGTAGTAAATATTTAATATTTACTATACGTAAAAGCCCTCCCTCAATCATTGCATTGAAAGGCTAATTCAGAAGTTTGAAGAAACAAGATTCTTAGCAGTTTGTTTTGGTAGAATGCGGCCACCAGAACAGGCAGCTACTGATGTCGTGATTGCAGTCGATGACGATACCGATACCTATCGGACCATTGCCGGAAATAGCCATGCTTGAAAAATTGCGTGATGGTAGGATTTGAATCTTTCAACAGCATGGCAAATCTTTCAGAATGTTCACCGCTTCTACCCATACAAGATAAGCTGCAAACAGGAATAAAACATTGGCATTTGCACTGACATTTCTTGCCCGATTGGAAGTGGATGATGCTTGGCGGTTGGGAATTCTATGAGAGGATAAGGTCCATTTTCACCAAAGTGAGATTGTTAGCACTCACATTTCTTGAATTTGGGCATCCGAAGAATTGCATGGAGTTTAACCACTTGTGCTATGACTAAACTTCACGGTTGCGGTGCCGTTCGCTACAATATAACAAGCGGTAAAGTGTCTCATTTACGCCACTCCGCGAGTGCAATTCAGAGCTGTAACTTGAGAAATAAACAATCTTGTTTTTAAGCGACGTGTGCACCACGTTATTTTCATTTTTGCACACAGTTTGAGACAAAAGCATCTTGATGTGCGTGGCACGTCTTTTTAGTGCAAGTGCTTAAGAAATCCTACTGCATTCACCAAATGTCACTGTTTTGTGTAGCTTTACAGCAGATTTCTTTAGTGGATTTGTTATTCTTGAGAACATTACTCTAATAAGACCACTTACCTGTACCGTCACTACACAGAGGTATGATGTTATGCTGATTATTTTTGTCATTCCATAAATTCCGCAAAGGCATTTTCTATATCAGGTAACTTTTTTGAAAGATGGATCTTCCATCTTTCAAAAAAGTTACCTGATATAGAAACCACTGCATGTTGATCTATCTGTAGAGCAGCTATAGCATCATCCGTTTCAAAAGAAAGAGTCATTTGTCACTTTTTTCTTCTTGCATGGCCGCCTCGCTTTCCGGATGTAACTTATTCCTGTAGGGTTGTTTGAAGTTCAAGGTCTATCTTGATTTTGTCTCGACCTGGATGACCTTAAAAGACAACATATCGCAGTCAGTACTAAGTATTCTCCTTCGAGAATGTAGTGTACATGATGCAATGTGTGGTCCATGAGAAGAGTGGTCACATTGCCCTCTTCAAGAAAGCACTGTTATTGAATAAAATACTATGGTACACTCAAATATCATCTCTGTAAGCCTTTGGGGGCAGTTCGTCTGCTGCATCAAAGTGGTGTTGCCCTGAAATTTCTTTTTTGTTATAGATTTGTCTTAATTCTCAGCTGTGTAGACTAGAAAAGCACCGCATTTCCCTATAGGCAACTTTCAGAACTAATTTTTACTTCACAGAATCTTTTCTCCCATGCCATCATTAGTTCTGCTATCAAATTTGGGTGAATTCTAGCTGATAGATAGAGCTACAGATGGCTTTGAGTAAAGTCAATTAAAGGAAAAAACACACTGTATCTAATTTTATAGCTGTGTATTTTTATAAATGTGATTAATGGAATGAAAAACTTGAAGTATGAAAAAGTTCGATGGGAAATTTTGGGGGAAATGTTTGAAATGAGATGCAATAAATTCAAATAGGGAAATTTTTCTGAAAAGGGGACATGTGCATATTTGATTAAATTCTACTAGAAGCTCATTTTCTTCACTATTCGCATACCTACGTTTGGTAATGGCATGATGTCACTTACTTCGTTTCTACGTGAAGTAGTTTTTTTACCTTATCTTTACTGATTCTTTTTACATATTGGACTTTTTCCCGATTTTAAAATTTCTTTTGAGTATAGCAAGGTGCTAATTTTAAAATAAAATGTTCGAGAGTTTTTTTTTTTGCACCATGTAGCGACACCTAAATGGATTTAGACCTGACAAATTCATTTAAAATGAAATATATAATTTGACTTATTTAATAAGTTATAATATTATTTTAATATGAAATGTAGGAAATTAAAATTTTGAATAATGAAGTTTTCAAATTGTATTTTTGCATTAATTTCATTTGATTATTTTAAACTTAAAAAAGAAAAAAAATATGGGAATAAAATCCGTCAAAGAGAAAAACAAAATTATGTTTATCAAAATGCCTTTAAGAGCATTTAATACCCCTTTCTCATGTCGATTTTTGATAACAGATGGCGCTACGAACGTTGAGCGATAAAGACTCAAATCTGTAAGACTACCTACAGCCTGGTTACTATGGCAACGAAGCTTCCCTTCCACTGTACTCGTTTGGCGGGAAAGTGAGTGAGCCATAAAACACTTCCCCTCAGTTGAACAAAAGACCTGCTGTCATTTCTTCCGTCTGTGACTCAGACTGCAGGGTATGTTTTGAACAGGAATAGAACTTTTCCACTTTTGTGTTGAATGAAAGATATCTGTGAGATACGTGCAGCAGTCGCTATTTCTTTTCGCAAAATTTGTTCATCATGCTTTTCAATGTTGCGTAATGTTTCATAATTTGCCTTTATTCTGCGGAAGAAAAGAAAACAGTTTTTAAAAATACTAGATTTTTAAGCATTTCGGTAATTTCATTGCGACATAAAAATTATATATAAATGATTTGATACTTGATGATATGTGTATACATATATCAGCATGCACATATATTCCATTTACTCATCATCCATAATATTTCATAAATTACCATCCATATATTCCATAAATATGTGTTAGCACTTTCCAGAGCTTTATATATATTTTTTACTTGTATTATAAAATCGTATAACACTCCTAACTATTATTTTTTTACTTCAAAAGTGGATAAATCATTATGAAATTTTTCTAGTACACGGAGAAATGGTCTATGTATCCATACACATAAACGTAGTAAAGATATTATTCTTGATTGAATTTTTGGCAGCAATATCAAGATGCAACGAAAATTCGAAATCAATTAATAACATGCATTTTATTACAAAAACACTAGCAGGACGTATTATTTGCACAAAAAACTTAGTGTGGAAATAATTTGCGGCACATTATCTGAGATCCGCTTTGAATAAAAACTACATAAAGTTTTATAATGAACAATCAGTTTCAAGATTTCACTTGATACTGAAATGCATAAAATCAAATTGCGTTTCTGTGTTTCAGGTTTATAAAATACAGCTGATAATTGAAGGGGTATCAAGTTTATAAAGTACAAGCTGATAATACATGATAAGGGGGAAGAAATTCCTAAATTACAAAATTGAATAAAATTGAATATTA